AACCTTAGTTTTTTTACTGCACCTTTGCAGGGAGAGGGCGAAACTCTCTACTACTTAGTCAGCATAAGTCCGAGGAATCCAGGAACTGGTTCCCTGTACTATTTAATCCTAAGAAAACTGGGCTTCTGATTTTAATATTTTGCTTTCCTAAATTCTAGAGAATGATGAGTCCTGTGCCTCCCCATACAAGAACATGCAACTTCAGAGAGCTACCACACCCTGAAAACCATCCACTGCCTTCTACTTTAACACACCTGAAATGACTACTTAATTCTAAAAATAAAATATATATAGCAGACATCAACTTCTGAAGGCAAGATGTGAATACACACACACACTTTTGGTAATATAAAACAAGTAACAGGTTTAGAGAATGACCCTTTACTGTCAGAGAACTGCCACAGTATTACAACATTTCAGGAATCTGCTTTTTAATTTAGTCACTCTGCAGGATTGACATGCCTTGAGGATTAAATGTAAGATATAAACAGTCATTAAACACAAACACCTATGTTAGTTAGCCGGATATTAAGGGGGAAATATCACATATGTTTAGAGTTCCATTTGCAAATTCAGGAACATCAATTTCAAGGGCTTTGTTTTATGGCATGCCCTTAAGCCAAGAAGGAACACCAGGTTGCAATCAAGTAGAGGAAGGTAAGGCTTCTTATAGGAAAACTCTCACTACAATATCCTGTCCCCAGGATTCTCTTTCTTCACTTCAAAAGTGTCAGGAGAAGAGGCTTGCTGCTACTGTCTTGGAAGATGAATAGCTATAGCTGCTTGGACATTAATAGCTATACTTCTCTGGTATGAAGAGGAGGCTGAGAAACAAATTTCCATGCTGTTTATCTGATGGTACTTTAAGTAATGAAAACTGAAATTTGGTGGGTTTTCAGCACGCAGACACAATTTGAAACTTGCATCAAGTCCAAAGTTCCTTATTTGGCTCTGTTCTGTAAGTCCAGCATGCCTGTGAGTGTACATCTTAAATAACCAATTTGTAATAATTCAATCAGCCAGAAAGGTGCAGCTTTTCTAACTTTTCCAAACTACATTCCACACCTCTGGGCATCAGTGAAACACATTCTAACTGTGGTAAGCCTGATGAAGCACAGATAAAAATAACAGTCATCAGCTGTGGTTTTAAAGGCCTTGCTTCAACACAGTCAAATGTGTCAAGTGTTCATTCTCTAGATTCTTATGCTGTGGGTTATGAATAACTTTCCTTTCCTGGGAATAATTGAATATAACCCACTTGGGGTCCTGCTGTCTGTGAATTGCTTACACAAGAACACTGTTTAGGGAGTAGAAATTCCAATCCCCTCCCATTCTGCCTCATTGGATATTGGAATGAGAAGCAATGGGACATGGCTTTTAAAAGCAATTGTTTTTCACATTGCTTGCTACAAAGGTACATTATCACACATTCTCTATCCATACAATCCCTTACCCAATCACAGGAATGAAGATGCTACAAGTGACACTTCTGGTAGAATTTGGGTATCTGAGACCTGGAAAAGAGCCCAAGTCTGCAATCTACACTTGCTGAACTCCTATGTCATAAAGAAGGAACTATGTAAGGTGCGTGGTGGTTTTCCCATGCTAACCCTGAAAAGCCCCCGCTCTCATCACTGAGCACACATCATACTAGCAACTACATGGATATATATATATATATATCCACATGATTTTTTATTTCTTCCTGTATCTCCATAGAGTTAGTGAGTATATTGCACTCTTCCATAGAAAAAAGCCAGGGTGACAACCAATCATACTGACACTCAAGAGATGACATGGGGCTCAGAGATCTTCCTCCTAGACTATCAAATCATTTTATTAATAAACACCGGATTTTACTTCTTTCTAGAGGAACATGACCCAATATAAATGCAATAAGAACCATAAATATAATTTGTAGCTTTCTATCAATCACTTTTAGAAAAACTAAAAATAATTTAAATAATGTAATAGTATAGTTTACTTTCCCCAAGATAGCAAACGTATTTGAGAACAGAGTTAACAAATAGTACTTAGTAAGACTTTTGGCACACACAAACAATGTCTTCTTCTGAGGGAAAACGGACACCCATTCAAGAATCTTTACTTACTCTGTCTATAGTTCTTATGACAGTTAAGTATGGGTCTTCTGAGTTAGGTAGACTAAATAAACATTATAAAAAAGAAAGAGTTGTGAGGGGTGGGTAATGGGTAACAGGAAGATTGGCTGGGTTAGGTTAATTATTAATTGAAGCTGGTTTATTGCTCAAAACTCTAAGAATTTCCCCTAAGCTTACACGTATCTTTCATTTCTAACCCAAAGCACACACACTGAGCACATTCTGTGTACTTGACTCATGCAGGAAAACACAGCATAGTGTGTGCTCCTGGAAAGTTAGGTTATCACACAATCCACAGAGACTAAAGTATAATCAGAGCAGGAGAAGCACAAGTGCTACAATCCTGCACCACAGCAAGGGCCATAGCATCCTTCAGGTCTCAGTCTCTACTCATCACCATGTACACGCCTCACTATGGAAGAAAGGAAATGTACACTTTTGGTGATATACTGTTTATGATCTAATAAGGCCACTGAAGGACACCACATATACTTTCCTTTCTACTGCTGATGAGTAGGCATTTGAGCCATGTAACCTGCATAAAGTCAAGGTGTGAGCATTTTGAGTGCCAGTATTTTTCCCTGAAATTAGAATACACATCTCTGCTAGTAATACTATAACATCCAACCACACACCCCAACTCAAAATTCCCTGAGGTCATATTTGGATAAAGCTATTAGAAAGTCGGGAGCCCTAATTTTCTTTAAGAGACAGCAATATTTATGTTATTTCAATTGTTGTAAGCACTGAGCCTATGTGATACAAACAAATATATGTGGGTGGATTTTCTGTATGCCGACAGTGATAACACAATCAGGCAGACTCATTTTAGGGTATACAGACATCATAAAATATGCATTAAATTGTATTTATTTTTGTTTATGTAAATTCTCTCATATTTATATTATTCCCTTTCCCCAATTCAATATATTTAGACTTAACCTGGTCTCAATCACTGCATATTTAAAATGAAATGAAGACAAACAAACAAAAATCTCCACAAAACACCAAACACTGGCTTTCTCTGTAGTCAAAACTAAAGTCGATCAGATATACCCAATTTTTATTAATGTGCTATCAAATGTACTTCCCTAAAGAGCAGAGGTTTTTTAAGATTTTATTTTTGGTTTTAATTACATGAATATATGTGTGTGTCGATACACACACGTGAATGAAGTGACTGCAGAGGCCAAAAGAGGGCACTGAGTTCCCAGAAGCTGGGGTTTCCAACACAGTCCTCTGCAAGGAAAGTAGGCGCTCTCCGACATGACTGCCTAAACATGAGCTGAACAAGAAATACACCAAGAGACATGCCCAAGTGGATGAGGGGGACCATGAGGCGTCATCCCTACATGACAAACCACAGGCAACTAAAGGATGTTGAAAGCAGGAGAAACAGTCTTCTCAAGAAAAGGGCACATCAATTGGCTATCCAATACCAAATAGTTAACTTTGAAAACATACACATACATATAAGTAGCATTATACAGACTGAGCAGGGTGTGTGTGTGTGTGTGTGTGTGTGTGTGTGTGTGTGTGTGTGTGTGTACACGCGCACGCGTGTGTGTAACAACAATTAATAAAAAAAATGAGACCATGAATGTGAAGAAGAACAAAGAGAATCATATGGGAGACTTGGAGGGAGGAAAGGGAAGGGGAAAATGATGTAATTATATTATAATATAAAAATTTTTTAAAGTCATAAAAATACATATTTGAAAGAGAAGGTGATCTTAAGCACTGAGCCATCTCCAGCATCCAGAAGACAGAGTTTTAAACAGGATAATGAGATACTATTGCATCTAAAATGCCTTTAAGGTACTACTTTAAGAAAAAAAATATGAAAACATTGGGAAGATATTCACTAATAGAGCATAGCAGCCCTTACTTTATAAACATTGGCACTGGTTTCTGAAAACGAAACTATACCACACTGTGAGAATTGTCTTAACCCATCCATCACCTTGGTGTACATCTTTGAGAAAGTGCTCTACAGTGAGACTTGTAATGAGACATGGATAGGAGTTTAAGAGAGGTTAAAATGTGGTTACATTAGTGGACGTTGCTCTTTGTGATGACATGTACGATCATTAACCAAAGTTTGACTTGCAGGCTATTTGGATGGATGAACCACCATTACAGTTCTTCAAAGCCAACAGAGAATTGAAAGAACACAACCCCACAGTCTATGCAGATGGATAGAAAATATCTTTTCTGGAAGTATTTTTTACTTAACATATCAATCATAAATACAGCAGTTACAAATATGCTGTCTCAGAAGAATTTTTTTTTTCTTATATAGTTTATTTTCCTTCAGTTTCAATGCTGAATTCTAGAACACCAATGCCGGCTTCATACATTCATGGCATTGGGATCTCAAACTATCACCTTTCCCTCTTGTTCTACATTACTAAGCACTGTGGTAAATCACTGAGAATACACCATCTATCCTTTGAAATTATGAAGCAAGATGACAACAAGCACGCGGCAAGGTCATATGCTGGCTGGAAACAGGGCCTTTGGAGCCAGAACACTTGGTTCAGTCCCTAGGTCTCCCACACCCTAGCTACGTGTCCTTGGACAAACAGCTAAATGTCCAGAGTCTCCCCACACCTCACATTGTATCAGAAAAGTGGAGATTAAAACTCATCCTTTCTTACATATAGAAATTTAAGAGAGGGTTTGACATGCAATTAGTGCTATGTAAGTAATTGTAGTGGCTATCACTATAACTATATGCTATGACTAGACCATGTGATCTATTTTTATAACCACTACTTTACATTTTATCAAAAGGCCTGTATCTAATTCTCAGCTCTTTGGAGTTGATGCAAAAGGCCCTTTGATCCTTCACAGAAACTCAAATGGTAAGACACCTACCGGAACAACAGGTTTCAAACTCTGACCACTTGGGCTTGCAGCGCTTGGCTGGGCATCAGCATGTGGCCCTGGTGCTGGGTCACTGCTTCTCCTCACCAGCAGTGGAGTGCCTGCAGGACAAAATAAGAGGTGAGAGGTCAAAGGAACCCCAGGGAGAAGAGAATATATGGCACAATGTATTTTAATTAAAAGGGTTTATAACACGCTTTCATGTTTCACCATTCAGTTTCTTAGGATGCTTGTAAATGAATCCACGTAATGCTCTTCAGACATCTCTAGGTAAGGCAGCATGCATGCATTCAGTCTTTCAACCCTTGTCTTCCCTTACCTGCATTTTAAAACCAGCCACTGCATTTAACAGACGTGTTAGGCGATGCAAGACTGGAGAATGGGCAGTCTAAGAGCTGTCCTCAGAAGCACATGGGGTTTTAAATAATAATTATGCACAAGACTAATGAAGAAGTTCAAATGTTCAATGTAATCTTCTATTCAGTAGGCCTAGGAGCATAGTTATTATTGCTATTTGATGCTTCCCAAACCTTTTGAACAATGATACACACGGTATGCTCTGATGCTTAAGGCATTAATGTCTATTTAAGTATACAAGGGGATTGATTCTATTCTGTTCTTTTCCCTCTAAAGTAGACAAAACTGATAAAGAAAATAAGTTAGTTCTTCTAAAAATATATTCTGATTTCTTTTTAATTTAATAAAAGCTCCCACTATTAAATATTTGAGTCAGTTATTAAATTCTAAAAAAAAGATTAGAAAGTTCAAATGCAATTCAACCTCACTAGGGCTAGCAACCTGACCACGCTCACTTCAATTAGGCCTAAAATAATTTGCTTCATACAAAATTAGATGCTGTAAAGAAAAAAAAATCTGCTTGCAGTTTAAAAGTTACTCTCATAGAAAAATTAACATTTATTTATATACTTTTGGGAAAAGAGTGAAAAACAGTAGAATGTAATTTCTCCTTTATCAACATTCTGAAAATAATTTCTCAAACTTCACTAGCTACTCAGCTTAAAGGAACATTTCATCTCCATTTGAAGCTATTTACCAAACAGATTTCATAGGTGCTATGACATTCTATTCTTTTCTTTCTGTAGAAAACAAAAAAAATACTAACACATTTTACCCCCTTTTACAAAGAAGCTGCTTTCTTGAAAACAAATTTTTTCATAGTATGTTAATATGCAGTTTAAGATAGAGACACTTCAACAAAATATATTTTAAAAATCCCACAAACTTTCATTCTTTTTTATTAATAGATATGTCATACATTATTCTTTACTTCCTCTATCTCAACCAGGTTAAAAATATCTATTTGGCTCTATAGTTAACAATTGTTTCTTCAACAAAACTGGAAAAATAAACTAGACTAGAAGGAAAAAGTTCCTTAAAATTCAATTTCATATCAACTTTTTCACTTCTTCAGTTGCCCTATAGGCAAAATTTCTTTCAGGTTAAACCCCTAAGTTCCCAGTAGCATGACGAGAAGAGTTGGTTAAATGCAATATTCTTAGAGATAGAGCATGACATGGAAAGTCCCAAAAAACTTGGGGGAACAGGAAGGGAGACACCTTGAAACTCTCAATCATTTCCAAGTATTTAATGAGGTGAGTGCACTACAATTTAACAACCTCAAATCAGAAAAAAATAAAGAGGAAACAAGCAATGCCATTTTGGCTTACCATGCTGTTTTCTCACTGTCAAAAAAAAAGGCAATGGTGTAGCAGATAAAAGACAATGGTGAACAATAATTTCAGAAAATTTTAGTTTTTTGTTATTGTAATTTTTCAGCCAAATCATACAAACACACACTCATATACAGACATAAAAATACAAGTACATGCATACATATACATACAAACACATACACTTATACATACACGCATACACACATACACACAGACATACATACACACATACATACACACAGACATACATACACACATACATACACACAGACATACATACACACATACATACACACATACACATATAGATACACATATTCACACACAAATGCATATATAAATGCATTTGCATATGTGCACAAATAAACATATATACACATATACATACATATACACACATAACACATAAACACACATACAGATAGACATATATACTCACACATATAAATCCACCTACACACATACATGCATACACCTATATACACATATAAACACATACATGTACATAAGTATAACTACACAGTAACACACATATATATACATGCATACATACACACATAATATATACACACATACAAGCATACACACGTCATAATGCTTTTTCTTAGATTATAAACATCTTTTTTTCAAACTTTAGAAGATAGTTTTTCTTCAACTTTGAGGATGGGATCCTCTGCCTCATCACAGTTTAAGACTACTGATAAAATATTAAACTATTTAAGATGCTTTTGAAGTAACAGGTATTCAGCATTCTGCATTTTGCCATAACTCGTAATACATCTCTCTAGAGATGACAATTCAGTATATTCCACTATATCAACTATTTAGAACATAAAAAATCATCCATTGTACTCCATTACTACGTATAGCTTTCACATTTCTATGTATCAGTTAAAAAGTTTAATTAATAAATATACACCAAAACCGCCAAGAAACCAATCAAGCTTTAAGATGGATGATCTGATCCATTTAGGATGAGCTGATCCTAAACTCAGCTCCTTAGAAAAAAGTTTCCCTCTGTGTTTTTTTTTTTCTTCCACATTTGAATGTCTCCTGTTGAGTCACCTTCTAATTTTTCCTTGGCTGTCTTAATGTGTTAATAACAAGTGCAAATCATTTCATACTGGAATTAATAATGAGCATCTCAAAATATGAACTGTTATCTCAGCTTTAAACAAACCCTCCTCATAGTATTTTTCAAATTGCCAACCCCTATTAGCAGGCTGCCGTCAAGGAGAGTCAGTGTTGTCACTCAAAGGCAGAGGGAACATCCTTGTGTTCAACAAAGGCAAGCAAGGGTTAATGATTAGGCAAATCCTTGAACACAGTAGAGCTGAAGTCACATTGCTCAATGAAGCTCATTAAATAAGAGGAGGTAACTGTCTAGTTTTTTTCCTTGTAGGGAGGGGAGGATAAACATGCATGCACACTAAAGGAGCTTGTGTTCTAATTGGTAGATGTTAATACTGCTAACTACCATACATCAGTACAGTGGACGAGACAATGGACTGTGGAGTCATCATGACTGAACTGTGCCTGTGCTGGTTCCATGTCATTGAAAGTGGACTGTTCTGTGACAGTATCTCCATTGAAAACCTGGTGTTAAAAACATGAAAGAGCTGATGGGTAGGGGGAGATACTAAGTCAGGTACAATATATAACTTTGATGATTGTGTATTCTTCAAACAGGAAGATCATCCATCTCTTCCCAAATTCCCCTCAAAGAAGAGCTGTCCCTTGACGTTTGTCATTAATGATGTTAGCCGCTTTCCAATAGATCAACTTCAGAAAATCAAAGCGAGTTTTAGGGAATATTATGTGAATGAAACCTAGCAAAAATCTAATTCTATGGCAACATATAGCCTTAATATTAGAATACACACATAAATACACAAATAAATACACACACACACACACACACACACACACACATATATATATATATATATATATATATATATATATATATATGTGAGTTGAGTTCAGAAATGTGGAATGTTTTCTAATCATTGTGTTCTATCTAATTAGGATGCTCTTAGATTTTAAGGCAAAGTGTTCAGTTCAGCCCAAGAAGTCAAAGACAGCATTCCCTGGAGCCAGAGTTTAAAAGCCAGTGGAGGCAAAAATGAAATTAAATAAGGAATATTGCATGATACTTATGTCTACAGTTAAAAATTTGGAACTCAGCTGTGAGACAGGACCACTTCAGTGGGTGTTGGGGAGGCAATGACATTGAGCTGAGAAATCACAGTACTTTATCTTACTTACACAGAAGAAGACATGGGGGACAAGGAGCATGCCAGGAAGTTTCAGTATACATTAAGGTAGGCAACCCTAACAGGTGGGTGACATATAGATAACAGGGGAACCCATACCAATGCACACATATACTATGGAATATGTGAGTCTCCATTTTGTTTCTCTGGAGCCATGGAAGACAGTTGAGCTACATGTTTGGAGAAAAGAAACCCTGATGAGGTACATAGCTGATGATAGTTATGTCCCCATGGACATATCTTGTCATATTAAGTTCAATTCCATTGGAGTAGCACCAATGGGTACTTATCACTTTAGCCTCACTCTAATGCAAACTTACAAATTCACAGAGGGATTTTGTCTTAAAAATCTAAGGCTGTGGAGCCAGTTAGCACTGGCTGTGTTTAGATGGAGCTTGTTTATATGACAAGTGACATTAAATATTGAATTTGGAGGACATTGAAATACATGCCATGCTTGTGGAAGAAAAAAAGTATATTTAGTTTTCACATATTTATATGAATGATGTCATATTTTCTAGTTATTAAAAATTACCAGTTTAATGATGCTGAAAGTAGTACACAAAGGGGGTGCAGTTGAAACATCCAATATCCCTATTAAATATCCCTAAAGCATTTTGAAAAAAAATAGAAGAGGCAACAATTAATTAAAAGCTCAAATTGTTACACTAGCAGATCATTCATAACATAAAAGCCAACATGAATGGAAGGTGGGAGGTATTTTCTATATAATACAAGTTTCTGACTTTGATACATGCGTGAGCATTCTCACACACACACACACACCCACACACACACACACACACACACACACACACACACACACACGCCACAGCGTGGTAGGAGAGGGAGGGAGGTGAGAGAGATTTCTACATCAGAAGGTTGTGTTTGGATGGCGTTGCCTAAGTGACAAGCAATGTCATTTACTATTGAACTTGGAGGGCCTTGAAGGACAGGCCATTACAGAAAAAGAAACCAAGAATCTGAGGAATCATAACAGAGGAGGCTGTTGGCAGCAGAGGAAACAAACAATAGTGTTAACATGAGCTGCACGTCAAGACACAGGGACACATGTTCTAAATTGTATAGAGAGCAGCAGCAGCAATTTATTTATTTAAAGATGGTAAATGA